GTCAGACATAAATTGGCGGTATAGGGGCTTTTTTCGTGCTACCGATAAAATTCCGGATATTTATGTCGCGGACTGTACAGTTTTGTCTTCACATTTAATCTCCTTTTTACCCTTTCCATAGTTTGATGAATTTGTCTTCTTGGTGTACTGCGCATTCCAACTCCAAATGATGATTCTTAAATTCGAAATCACCATTCAAACGCGCTCCAATATGAATTCTTGAGATCGATGTTAATTCACCATCATTTAGATTTCTTGATTTTAGTGTGCGAAAAGAAGCAACAAAATGTTCAAAGTGTTGCCAAAACTGTGACCCTGGTGGACATGTCAGATTTTCGTTGGACCTATGGTCTCCATAGTCGCAGAAGGACCAGTCTTTAAGTACTGGATCCTTGCCATTAGAAGAATTAGTCAAGATCCAAATCCATAGTAAGGTAAATCCAAATATCCCATACTGGAATTACTTTCACGAATATAACGAATTAGCCCAGGTTGTACAATATGATCGGGATACTTATTTGTGCCAGGAACATGCTTATTAAATTTCAAGAGATGTCGAGTAAGTGTTGCTTGTGCAATAGCTCTAGCTTCACTAGGTGATAACATAAGTGCCTCACGGTACCCGTCATAAAGTCTAATGCGCAAATCATTCATCATATCGTTGATGTTTACATTTTGAATATCACGGTCTTTTAAGATTTCCTGTAAAACTTCGAGGGCCCTCCCATGTCCACCACAGTCATTTACCAGCATTTTAATGATATGATCATCTGTTTGAAAGATAGAAGTTACAACACCGCCTTTAATAATGGTACACATGTTTACGATGCGTGATTTTCAATACACTGTCAATAGGGTCAGTGACTGTTGCAGTACACAATGGTATTACGAAAGTACCTCGTAGGCAAGGTCATGTATATTCGTCAAAGTTTTAAAGAATTCAGATGTCCTGTCATTCCAATCATTATTCGATTTCATTATGTTTTGTAGACCGTCAATAATCAACAAAAAAATCGTGTCTTTTAATTTACGATTTTCATATTTGGACACCAATTCAAAAACCTCCCATGTTAATAATTAGAAATGATCAGATTTAAATCTTGATTGGGAAGTAGTTTTTTAAGCATTCGGGTACCAATAGATCTGTACGCACTCTGTTCTACACCACATCTCCATTTTCAAATCCAACGCTGAATACAAAAGCATTCTCAATTTTATTTCTCAGTTCAAGATCCTCATCTTCCGAAAGACATGCAATTGCTGTTTTATGAAATTCTTCAGCATTTCTTGAATTGCCTGTGCCAGCACCTGAAAGGAATAGATATATCGGAATATATGTTTTATCAAAATTTTCCTGAAGAAAATTTTTATAATGTTCTTTAAGCTCATATCGCAACTCTTCATATAATGTTTTTGCAGGTTGATAGATCCATTCTGAACCAGTACAATAAAGTAACGGTTTCGGTTTTATAAATTGTAAGCCTATCGGAATAGTAAATGTTGATCAGTCACAACATAAATTCTTGGATGTCTAAAATAACTAAAAATACATACCGTTGGGAAATTCATCCATAATTTTAAAAAAATTTGATAAATTATAAGATCGTGAAATATTTTGAATTAAATAATATAAGTTTCTCATCTCCATAATCTCTAGAATTCCGAAATAAATCACACAGACTCCAATCATTATTTAACATACTTGTAATTTCAATATCAACCATTCATAATTCCTCTAAAGCAAAAAAGACTTGTATACAAAAACCTCCGCAAGCAAAGATTTTTCACCGATCTTTTGGCATTCAACGGGGACTGGACGTACTCCTTTTTAATAGTGTTTCTCATTTTTGCTTGTGTACCGCAGTTAACATTGGTGTTGGAATTGGCAATTTTTTGTAAAATTGTTACACATGACAAATTTATGCTTTTATTAAACAAATTATTTACTAAAATTCGGGAAGAAATAGAAGGATTCCTCCTTATATATTGTGCAATTGCTTTGGAATTTTCTGATGTAATTTTTTTTTTTGGTCGTCCTTTGCGTTTTTTATGAATTATACTTTCGGTTTTTTTAGGTTTATTGATATAATAAATCGTAGACCTTGGAATTTTTTTTTTTTTTTTTTTTTTTTTTTTTTTACGCTTGCACTTATAATTCCTTTATTCCAAAAATGTTTTACAACTTCAGCGTGTGAATTATGTGACTTTGTTATATTTTGGCCACTCATCGTTAGAAAAAAAAAAAAATTAATTCGGCAACAAAAAATTAAAATCTTGATGTTTATATATCATCTCGCAAAATTACGTGTGGTCTGTATTCCGCTGAACTAATTTTATTGAGACGATCAAATGTCCAAAGACTTTTGTAACACACTATACCATTCTATAAATAATATAAAATAATAAATAAATTATATGATATATATATATTTTTTTTTTATTAATAATTTTACTCTAATGATAAATAGAAAAACCATATATTGAAAATTCTAAAACTTTAAATTTTGATTGGTAACATTATTATTTTTTTATTTGATTATAGATTTTATAAATAAAACTTTGTGATATTTTTTTTTTTTTTTTTGCCACCACGTTAAAAATTTTTATCAAGTTATAATCCGTAATTTTGACAAAAAGGAAATTTAAATATAATTTAATCAATTAATCTCTTTTTTTGGAAGAATTTTTTTAGATATATGATTTGCCAACCTCCTAAACCTACAAGTACGATCATACTACCAAGACTAAACCATTTAACACGTTCATTCGTAGATTCTTTAAGTGAATTCGAAGGGGAGAAAATAAGTTTCAAATTAAAAGGAATTCGAATTAAAGGACAAAATTTTTAAAAATCAAAAATGAAATATGAAATGAACATACCATTCGTATCTCTCATCTTTGCTTCACGTTTTCGTAAATAATCCATTTCATCAACAATTTCTTGAACAATTTGTTCTAATTTCCTCAATTCAGCATCTATAGGTTTTAATTTTTCGGCTTTGGCTAATGCATCATAATCAATAGCTTCGGCGCCCACATCAATATCCAAATCAATTGTACGATGATATTTTGGATCAGGACGAAATTCTATTTGTCAATAGTTTTGAATTAGTTGGTCAATTATGAAAAAAAAAAAAATGAATTGATTTAATTAATTGATTAAATTTACCATCATCTAGATAATTCGTAAAACAAATTGAAACATCTGCATCGGCATGTGTGGTAAAAGCTATACGAGTATCCTCTTCAATATCTTTTTTACCACCATATTCGTTATGAGCAGGACTATTATCAGTTATCTATAGTAATGAATTAATTAATTAATTTTTTTTTTTTTTTCAATGATTTCACTAGCACGTCATACTCACTACTAACCTTTACATCTACTATTTGATTATATCCAACTCCAATCTTAATTGTTACTACAACCAAAGTATCAGTATTAACATATTGTGAAATACATTTCGAGGTTATTGCGTTAGAAGGGGTTGCCAGAAGATCAAATTTTATTCCCCATACCATATTAGATATGGTTAATAAAATAAGTAAGAGTAAGAAAAACGCAGTATATCGTATCATTTGGAAAAGAATATTTTTTTTTTTTTGAAATAATTTCGAAAATTTTGAAATTTTAGATTATTTTAAATTTAAAGACACTTTACATATTCTGATTGGATAATAATAATTTGTTCAAAGTAAATAAAAAATTCAAAAATAAAAAAAAAAATTGCCGTTGCCTGGAATCGAACCAGGGCTAGCGCGGCCACAACGCGATGTACTGCCACTATACGACAACGGCCTATTGATTACACAAAACAAATTTTTAATTAGCTATATAACAAGAATATTAAAATTATCGTAATACAATACAAATTTAATTTATATAATACTTTTTTTTTAGTATAATAATTTACTCATCAATTTTAATTTAAACGAAATAAAATGATTTTTAGAGGTACTTGAAGCAAAATTTTTTTTAATTTAATAATTACAAAGTATCATTATTCATAACTCTCGTAACATCCTAATTATATAAGTAAACGATACGATTAGGTATAACAAAAAAAAAAATTTATTTCAATTTTCTAATCTCGTCATCGATGTCGTGAATCAACTGTTTCAGTTTATTCCACTGTTCCAATTGTAAGGAAATGCCTTTCGGTAAAATAATCGGAAATTAAATTGATTGAACGTCAAAAGTCAAAGAAATCAACAAATTCTAGTTTCCATACCTTTTTTTGTTGGTTGCGTATTACCATCTTTAGTTTGAAAGAATTCACGAAAGTCGATTAAAACCATATTTCTCCATTCGCGGACAGTCACCCTCTTTTTTTCAGATAACTAATAAAAGATCAAGAAAAAATATAAAGTGATTTTTTTTTTAAAAAAAAAAAAAACTTTTTATCATGTTTGTTATTCAAAGAAATAACTTTTACTTTGAAATATGTCTCTCCATCATTATTTTCCCCTCGATCACTTCGATCGCTTTCGTATGCTTCTTCAGAGTCGGGATCTCTTTTAATTTTCTTTGAACTTCGAGAAGAGGTACTTTTACTTGGCTAAGTTAAAATAATATTCGTAAAATAAACGAAACGAATAATCGAAGGTAAAAATGAAAGTGTAAGTGACATAAATACTTTAGGATCTTCATCTTCTTCAAACTCTTCCTCCCCATCATTGTTATCGTGTTGCTAAGTTACGTAAGGGAAATATTTCGCGTCAGTAAATATTAGACATGTTCAGAGTGTTTGTAATAAATTATTTACCTCCTCATTTATATAACCAGCTTCTTCGTCACTATTAACAATATATTTAGAACTTTTCCTTTTAGAAGACATTATTTCCACAAGTTATAAAGAAGAAATTAAAGTAACGGGATTAGAACGCGAAAAAAGTGTGAGAAATATAATGATCTCTAAAAATAGAAAAATTTAGCGATGAGGGGAAATGATTTCTGGTGTGTGACCTCATTTTCCCGATCCAAAAATGCTTAAATAGTCGAATCTATTGAAATCTATTCGAAAGAACAAACCTGTTCGATTTTCCCTAACGAGAAAACGAAATTTCTTACAAATTCATTTCGGCCGGACCGATAAATCTTTTTCATTCTCTTTCAAAAACGTCTCATACAAAAAAAAACCGCCATAAAATCTCCCCTCATTTTCATTTTCATTTTTCTCTCGAATCAAGAAATTATGAAAAATACCGTTTCAGTTAATTTTCATTTACTTCATTCTATATGCATATTAATAATATGCTTTATAATCTTTTCTATTCCATCTACTTCGGCTATACCTATACCATTTATTGATGGAAATAATAATCCTCTTCATATTCTTTCAAATCCAAGGGTTTCTTTTAATGAATTGGATGATGGTTTACTATTTTAAAAATATTTTGGAGTGTTGCTTCTTTCTGTATATAATGATATCCAAAAAAAAAAAATGGGATCAAGTATTATTTGCATTTGTATAAAATATAAATTTAAAAGAGGAATTTTTTTAAAAAAAACAATGTAAGATATTTGTTATTTTGTAATAAATTTTCAAAGTTTTAATTTGTTATCATTATATGTTGTAATTCTTTCTCCCTTGTATTTTTTCAATAAAAAAATATTTTTTATAAAAAAAAAAAGATTTAGATATGAATGTATGTATATATGCTTGTCAAATAATTGATTTTATTATTATGATATTGTGCAAGTATTTATAAAATTAAATCTGAAGAAATATTAACCTTTTCTTCCTCAAATTAAAAGAATGAAAAAATCATCTAAAAAAAAATTATGCAAACTAATGTATTATATATATTTTTATAACCTACCTCCATCAATTTACCAGATTATACAATTATAGTGTGGCCTTTTATTTAATCACTTTGATCTTTATTGTGTATATCCATCATCTCCATCATCTCCATCATCTCCTTCGTCTCCTTCATCTCCTTCATCTCCTTCATCTCCTTCATTCCCATCATCTCCATCATCTCCTGTTTTCTTTCTTCCATTTATTGCAATTCGTTTTGTTTTTTTCTTGATTGTTGAAGTAGACTTCCTTTTTTTTCCCGCGATTTGATTACCATTAATATTATTTACATTGTTAATGTTGTCCTCACATGTATCAATTGTTTCTTCATCTCCATCGCTTTCTTCACTAAATACAAATACTTCCTCTTCACTATCACATTCATTTACAAGTTGATCACTATTATTTCCAGCTTGTCCCCAATGTTCTCGATCTACATCTCCACCATAATAAACAAATAGTTCTTCTCCTTTTCTGATATCTCGTTTAGTCCAACATATAACTTGATTCACATCACCTCCTTCCAGGAATACCATATTTCCGAATGGATCTTCATTCATAAAATGAAAAGGACAAAATATTGGTCCATTTGGATCTGTAAACGGTTCCCCTTTCTCATCAGTAGCATCTAGTATCGTATGTTTATATCTCATGGAATAATGTGACGCTCTACCAATTTTATCCTTAGAATTATCAAAATCATCTTCCATCATTGGAACACCAAAATAAAACCCAAGAGGTGTTGCCATAGGAAGGTTTCGTTTAGCGAATAGTCCATTACCTGCATTTTGAATCGTAGAAGGACGAACTTCAACAACGTCATTTAAGCTCTTTGGGACATTTGAAAGGTCTAATCCATTTAATATTTCATCAGGTAAACTAGCTCTACATATATCAGGATCTTCCGAATCCAACCTTTTTTGTTGTTCTAATAGTTGTTGCTGTAACTTTTTCTTATTTCTCGTAGCTGTTGCTGGTCGTGTATCAATTTCAATGGTTTGTTCCGGATATGTCAACAATAATGGAGTACGTTTTGCTTTCAGCCTTTCAGTTTTTTCGTGTACACCTATTCTAAGCGGGTAAATACATAAATGTCCTCTTTGCCTACATCTACCGCAAGCTGGTAATTTTGCATCACATGATTTTTCTATACAACGGCGACATCGCACATGGACAGGATTGCCCGCACCAACAGTAAGCATAATCACATTTCCGTTATTAGTTACAGATTGACCTATTTTCGTTAAATTAAAATAAGCGTTAGTATTTTTCTTTTTAAATGTAACCATTTGAAAAATATTTCCTTCAAAAAATTTTTATTTACCAGTCCTTGATTTTTTTGGTTTTCCAAAACACAGTACCCAATCGTGTTCAATTATGCCTTGCATCCATTGTTTATAACGATATATTGCATCATTACGGTCGTTCGGAACAAATGAGAGTTTATAGAAGGTGGTGTTTTGCTTTGAGTCTGTTTTAAATACTTTAAAATACTTGTCTGCATTTGTTGTCAAACAAGCGCTAGCAGAATTTCTCGGCGTCTATCCATATTACATATAGAAAGGAGAAGGAAAATAAAATGATTAAAGTTAAATCAAAAAAGTGTAATAATAATAATAATAATAATAATAATAATAATTAAAAACAAAAAGGAAAAGGAAAAGGGAACGAGATAAAAAACATATAAAATCGGCATACAAACGAGTTATTAATTAAACCACTGATGATCATATCACTCACCTGACCAGTAAAACATCGTGGCAAGCCTGTTTCATCACTACATTTTTCATCCAAGGAAATAGCGGCTTTAATTAATTCACCACGTGACAATGTTTTATTTGGAGCCCTTTGCAAAGCTAAAAACATCATATATTGTTGATTGTGCCATCGAGGTCGAAGTTTTTTATTATTATCTATTGGCAATCCTTTTGGAAATAATTCACTCATAACATTTTGAACCATATCTTGATCATGGGGAGTTACATAAGTCTCAACTAAATCTTTGAACCTAAAACCCAAAGAACTAGCAACATCCTGTACTAATGTGAAAAATCTTTCTACACTATTTCTTTGCTCTTTATCTAAAAATATTTTTCTAGAGATGTCAGATAAGTGTGGATATACAACGTAAACATTTCTTTCAGTATTGTAATTTGTAGAACAATCCTTAAGAAATGATGAAATCGCTTCGCAGGTACTGATCCAATCCTTATGAGACCTTTGCAAGACAGCTTGTGCCACATCGATCAAGTCTGGTTTGATTTCAATTTTTGAATTATTTAATGTTGAAAGATGTGACATCAAATAATCTCTCAACACATTTTCCATTTCACCAGAAACCATATCAGGATTTGGAGTAAAGGTAAGTATCCTTTCAATTAAATATAAACGGTCATTATCATCGATCTGAGCTAACCGATTCATCGCACTTGCAAAGACTTCCAGTGAGAGTGGAGCCAAAATTTTTATACAAATGTCCTTTAAAATGTCTTTTATTATATCCTTCCAGGCTAGTTCAGCAGTTAAGTTCATCTGAAGCTTAGGTCTAATACGAGATTCTAACCACTGTTGTAACGTGTCCGATAATTCGACCTTTCTCCTTTTAGAATTGTTCGTCGTTTTCATGTTACGAACAAGTATATTGTGGATCGTCTATAAAATCACTGGGAGAAAAAATCTTTCTTTTACGATGGAAAGTTATACTCGCGTTTTCAACAC